TTATTAATCTTCTAATATCTGGGCCGTTTTCTTTTTTATTGAGATTTGTGTTTAGTTTTGATTCGTGACCTTAGAAGACTTCTATGTTTTTCACCTTTACCATTAGCCAGGTACAAATGAGTAAAAATGCTGCTGGATCACAATCATCGGAAACAAAGCCATTCACTTTGAAAAAATGGAATCTACTAGCACTGTGGTCATGGGATGTCGAGTGTGACACTTGTGCTATATGCAGAGTACAGCTGATGGGTATAACTGTTCAGTCAACCTCGTTTGTTCCATTGTTTTGGAAATGCTTAGACGCTTTTTTTTTCGCTAATCCCACCACTAGGTTTTTGTTTCAGATGCTTGCCTGAGATGCCAATCTGAAAACAAGCCTGACGAATGCGTTGTTGTTTGGGGAGAATGTAATCATTCCTTTCATAACTGTTGCATGGCTTTATGGGTTAAGCAGAATAATCGTTGTCCTTTATGTCAGCAAGTAAGCTTCGAATGGTTTTGCCAATTTATAATTAAGGTTTAAAATTTCATTTTGTGGATTCTTTTGCTAACACTTTAGGGAGCGACAAGAGTTGAAGCTCTTTTAGTTTGACTTTTTTTCATTGTTAGCAATCATACTGCCTAGGAAACTGCTATTTGGAATTGCTTTTTTTCAGGATTGGCAAGTTCAGAGGATTGGTCAGTGAAACGTTTGAAGAGAAGTATGATCAATATGATGCTCATGTATTATAAAAAACACTTATGATATTAGATAGCGCCATTTCTTTAAACTTTCGTTTTAATTTTAGCCTCTGTTGTGGGCATATCAAGCGTGTTGATGAGCGCTACAGTATTTGCGACTCTACTTAGGCACGGATTTAGTCAGAAATAGCAAAATTTATAATTTAGGTGTTTAAGGCACCTTGTATTTTACAAGGAAACAAATCTTGCACTTTTGAGATTGTTTATTCAAGGCATTCGAAAATTAAATCAGTTTACTTTTGATATTTTTTGGGATTAGAAGCTTGGAAGCTTTTACGTGGGTTGAAATACGTAACAGGTAAGGTCATCGACAGTATGCTGGCAAAACTCTCTTGTATGCACAACGTACGCAAAAACTCCGTTTCCGCATATAACGTTAACATTCGTTCCAAGATACTGTTCGGCAGCTTGTTGTATACGTCTCTTTGAATACGTGATATCCGGGGCAGCATACTAAAGAAGTTTAGATAGGAATTTCTAAGTTTAAAACAGTATCACTCGTTTTACTAGATATTTTTTTATATTTTTGGCTTGTGATCTTGTGACTTCAAATTCAATTTTTGTTCTTTTTATTGCTATTTTTTTTTTGCAACTGTTTATGTACACATTTATTTGTTCTATATACATGCGAACTTTTTTTACCTTTTCTATAATCGCTTTCAGATAATAATTGTTGCACCTTGGGTTTACTGGTTTAATTCTAGCTCCGAATACCCGTTTTCGTTGTCGGCGAAAGCTACATGAGGACCCACAACGATAGCAGCAATCATTCTGTAATTTTTCAAAGCAGGCTAAGAAATCTCACAAGGAAATTATTTATTTAGTTAGAAACTTGCGTGAAATTGCGGGAATGTATCGTCATGTGAAGTAAAAGTAGCACAATGAAAATAGCCCTTTTTAAGTTTTTGCTTGAGATATAGTGAGGACAAAGTTGGATAGAAAAATAATCGTGCGGCTTAATTTAGAATATGTTTGAGGGTTTTTGTTCAAATCTATGATTTTTGAGGAATAATTATTTTTAACCTGCGCAGCTGATGGTGAATAGTGCCTGGCGCGGGGAACAAGATATGGTTCTGGCTTCCTTGGGTTTGGTAAATCACTGACATAACGGGATGAGGAGGTGTAGACGTCTGGGTGATGGTCTGGTGGTGGAAGTTCCTCGACAGGCTCGGGGCTTGTTGGTAGTGGTTCCGATTCTGGAGGCGGTTTTATTGGTATTGGAGGTGAATCACAGCCAGTAGGGGTTGAGTAGTTCGGAATTGGGAGTGGAGGCGGTGGTGGACAGTTGCATGGTGGAGGTGGTAGTACACGTGGGCATTCGGGAATTGGTGGTGGGTGACACGGAGGTGGTGGAGGTGG